TTTATTTAAAAAAAATTTTTTTAACATTTATTTATTTTTGAGGGAGAAAGCACAAGTCGGGGAGGGGCAGAAAGAGGGAGACATAGAATCCGAAGCAGGCTCCACGCTGTCAGCACAAAGCCCAGTGTGGGGCTTGAACTCACAGACTGTGAGATCATGACCTGAGCCAAAATCAAGAGTCAGCTGCTCAACTGAGTGAGCCATCCAGGCGCCCCAAGATGAACATAATTTATCTAGCCATTTCCTGTCGAATGTACATTAAGGTTTATAATTTTTCACCCTCATAAATAATGCTTCTTTTAAAAATGCTCTTATACATATAAACAAGCATTCTAGAGTTTATAAAAATATGGGAAAATCTTTACATCATAACGATAACCGAGTTCTATATACAGTACAATTTCAACTACATAGCAGAAAAGGAAAACAAAATAAGTCCAAAATAATACCAATAGTTGTTTCTGGGTAATGGGCTTATGGATTTTTTTTTCTTAGTTTCTATATTTTCCAAATTCTCTAATGAACAAATACTAATTTATAATTGGAGAAAAGTAAAATTAATTTCTACATGATGAGAATAATTATTATTCTATTATTTACATGGTGGTAGATGGTATAGCAGAAGGCTATTAACAGAAATATAGCAAATATTCATTTACATGGAAAGCAGCTGTCAGAACTGGACAGTGAATAAAGTTACCAAAGTAGCAACAGCACAAAAAACACTCAATTAGCCATTGTGAATAGAGGATAATCGGTTTCCTAGTGTGGAAGGATGGTGATTACAACTGAAATTAATGGCACATTAGTAGACATGCTAAATCAGTTAGCAAACCCAAGAGAACTGATAACATACATCCAACACAAAAACTCATGCATAAATGCTCACAGCAGCATTATTTGTCATAGCCAGAAAGGGGAAACAACCCACCTGTCCGTTAACTGATGGATATGCAAAATATGGTATCTCCGTATAATGCAATACTTTTAAGCCATAAAAAAAAAAATAAAAGATGAACCTTGAAAACATTATGTTAAGTAAAAGAAGCTCATGAAAGGCTAACATTCTATGTTTCCACTTCTATGAAATGTCCAGAACAGGTAAATCCACAAAGACAAGTGAATTAGTGGATGCTGATAGCTGGGAAGGTTTTGAAGAAATGGGAAGCTAATACTAATGACTAAGGAGTTCCTTTTTGAGATGATGAAATGTTGTAGAATAACTAGCAGTGATGGTTGCACAACTCTGTAAATATTCTAAAAGCCACAGAACTGTATACTTGAAACGGGTGAATTTATAGTATGTGAATTATATCTCAATAAAGCTGTTATAAAAACATAGCTAGTAACAACTAATTTAGTTTGTAGACATGTTAAATTGTTGATAACAAAATAAATTTAGGTTATAGTTTGCCATACACAAAAGGCTATAGAAAATTATTTTCAGTGAACAATTAGCCAGATACAAACTTTCTTTCCTTCATGTCCTGCTGACATCAAAGGATAAATAATTAAGCAACATATAATTTCATTATTGAAATTAATAAAAATTAAGGAAAAATAGCAAAACTTAACCAAGAAAATATAATCTAATTGGGCACAAATGTATTCTTTCTGGAGAGGAGAAAGGACAGATCAAAAATTAACGTTAGGGTAGGGGCGCCTGGGTGGCTCAGTCGGTTAAGTGTCCGACTTCGGCTCAGGTCACGATCTCAGGGTCCGTGAGTTCGAGCCCCGGGTCGGGCTCTGTGCTGACAGCTCGGACCCTGGAGCCCGTTTCAGATTCTGTGTCTCCCTCTCTCTCTTTGCCCCTCCCCTGTTCATGCTCTGTCTCTCTCTGTCTCAAAAATAAATAAACGTTAAAAAAAAAATTAAAAAAAATTAACATTAGGGGAGAAATTTGGAATCACAAAAATACTTAACTAGAGATGTTCCTGGGTGATGTCAATACAGCTTATACAAATCTGACCTCACTAAAAACACAAGACATGTAACCAAATTTGGCGACATGGGAAGCTTTGCGTGGAGACATCACAAGGCAGGTTGGGGAATACCAAGAATTAAAAACATGGGCGCCTGGGTGGCTCAGTCAGCTGAGTGTCTGACTTTGGCTCTGGTCTTGATCTCCAGGTTTGTGAGTTGGAGCCCCGCATCAGGCTAGCTGCTGTCAGTGCAGAGCCCGCTTCAGACCCTCTCTGTCCCCCTCTCTCTCTGCCCCTTCCCTGCTCTTTCTCTCTCCCTCTCCCTCTCAAAAATAAATAAACATTTATTAATAAAAAAAAAAAAAAAAAGAATTAAAAACAACATAAGGTGTCCTGTGGCCCCCGGAAGCTGAAGGCCTCAAGTTACTAGGCAGGTTGTCATTCCCTCCTAGGCAGATTGTGTTTTCCAGAGTTATCTGTTACTACCCTTCTCATTCCCTTTTATTGAGTTCCATGATGATTGGCAAGAAACCAAGCAACAGCCAGGATACAGAATTCATAACACAGAAACGCTGAATCAGAGCAAAATTCCGCAGCATCAGAGAAATCTGGCCGAATCCTGTCTTTCACTGCCTTTGGGCTGACTGCTTCCACAATGAAAATATTTAGAATGAAGGCACTAGCCCCGCCCCCCCAAAGAAAGGAACCTCTGAAAGTTCTGCCACATTCAAATCCACAAAGATAAAACGAAAGTGGGCTCAAGTGCTATTCTGACACGGCGAAGTCAAGCACAAACGTTAAAAAAAGAATAAAGCTAAAAAGACGTGTGCCACTGAGATTGATTCAGCAGAGGCTAGAAAATCGGTTTGACAAGAGAAAGTGTGATTAGGGAAGGGCATCCCTGTCATTTTAAAGCTCATGCAAATGTTTGGAACAGGAAAGCAAGTGGGGACTCTGCCAGTTTGATAATGAATGCAGCAGTAATGTATCTCAAAGAATTGTAAACATATTGCAGAAAAATGCGGCTAAATAACAAGCACAATGAATCTTTAATTTTGATGAAACTTTTTTAAGAACAAATTTAAAAGTCAGGGCATTACTTGAAAAAGAGAAACTGTCACAGTTTAAGGCTGCAAGCAGTAAACTGAGCAGAAGATTATGTATCAGTATCTTGCCTTACTTATCACTCAGAAAGACCATGTATATTTAATGTACTTTCAGCTCACACAAAATCCTGATTATATAAAACCATGCAAAAGAGTTGCACAAGTCAGGGAACATTCGCTATCAAAATTATTCTGACAAGTTTCCATCTCAGTAGAATCTCCTAGAGTCAATATACTGGTATTAAGAGTGGATCAAGCTAACTGGGCATGTTTCAGATTCTGATATTGCCTACATTGTATTTATAAGTCTTGCTAATAATGGGACAAAAACCATATTCAAGTCTGCTAGAACAATCCTGAATATTCAGTGGTCCTTAAATACCATCAGTATTTTGGTATATACCTACCTCAGCTAGTTTAACAAATTATTTCTAGGACTCAGCTACTGAAGATAAAGAGGAAATGTGTTATTCAGTGTTGTGCCGGAGCTGACCAATCACCAATCACATCTCTTTTCAACCCTGGGCACACAACATTGGTAGGTCAAATCAGCATTTGGTGGGAGTATTTACAGCACCGAAATCAGAAAATGCTATAAATCAGGGGGGCCTGAGTGGCTCAGTCGGTTAAGCGTCCCACTTCGGCTCAGGTCATGATCTCACAGTTCGTGAGTTCCAGCCCCGTGTCGGGCTCTGGGCTGACAGCTCAGAGCCTGGAGCCCGCTTCAGATTCCGTGTCTCCCTCTGTCTGCCCCTCCGCTGCTTGCACTCTGTCTCTCGCATTGTCTCAAAAATAAATAAACATTTAAAAAAATAATAGAAAATGCTATAAATCAGAGCTTCTTCTTCTTTCAGAAGTCCTTTCTTATAGATAATTATTCATCATCCATAAATACTGCAATTGTACAAATCTAAGATAGGTAGCTGGAAATGTAAATAAATGTAACCTACTTCCACTTGACAAAGGTCAAATGAAAGAGAATTAATAATCAGCCTTCCCTGAAAGGGATAAAAATAGCATTCTCTAGCTGCCAACAGAGTTACAACTCCCAGCCCCATAAAGGGAACATATCAGATTCTAGAACAAATTTAAAGGAAGTCATAGAACCACCTTTCAGATCATTCTAGAGGTAAGGGGTAAGTAGCTGTATTACTGCCAGGTTAGGGAACGATCTGCTGGCAGAGATTGCTCCTTTCCTACCCATAGCCACTCTCCCCTCTTTCTTGATTACAGAACCCTGATTTATTCAAGGTGTCCCCAGCTAAAAGACTACATTTCCCAGCTGGCTCTGCACATAGTTCTCACACAACAACTAAGTTGCGGCCAATGAGATTTAAGGAATAATTGAGTAAGGATTCTGGGAAAGCCTTTTAAAGGGGCATGGCCTTTCACCATTTTTCCCCCCTTGTTCTCCTTTCCTCAGCCTGGAACTTAGAAATGATGGCTGCAGTTCCAGCAGCTATCTTGTCATTTTGAGGATGAAAGACCTGCACTAAAGATGACAAGCAGATGGAAAGAGAGCCTCAGTCCCTAATAACTTTATAAAGAAGCCATCAAAATAGCCCTGAACTGCACTACCTCTGACTTTTTATGTGAGAGAGCAAACTGTTATAAAATAAGTTTACAGTAGTAAGGTCCCTTTTGCTAGCAGCCAAACAAAATCCCTAACGAATATAAATCTTAGCCTCATTGGCAGAAAGTACAGAAGCCATGCAGCAGTAAAGAATGTGGTGAGTTGGGGAAAGGAAGAAACTCATCACGTGTCCTTCCCCCTTCCTTGCCAGATTTTCAAGAATAGTTCCATAACAGGTTAGTGGGGAGCAAGCACCCACAAGTTAAAACCAGATGACTGGCACCTGAACTTATCAACTTCTGGCAGAAAGAATAAGTCTGTGAAAGCAAGGGGTCAGGCTCAGGACCCTGTATCACCTCTTCCACTGAATCTGACCAGGAGAGGGGCCCCCTTTTGTACCTCTTCAAGGTTGCAGAATTCCTGACGCAGGGCTAGCTTCAGATCAGCACATTCTCTCCCACATCTTATGGCCACCAGACACTCCTTGGTCAAATGTGGGACCTAATCAGAGAACACAGGTTCTTAGTGGAGAAGTCTAAGGAAACTCTGTGCTCCTGTTCTGCCTGAAAACACAGCCAAAGCTTTATCACTCCAACTGAACAGGACAACACGCACATCCAGGTTCCCCACCTCCTGGGAGGGTCATGCCATCTCTGGGTTCCAGGAATCCACTGTCACAGCACCCTGGCAAAACAAGGCACTTTAAAGGGGGTCTCTAGTGCTCCTTACTCGCTCAGCTACTTCTTCGTTGTTCAATCTGCGGTGGGGCACTTAACCTCTCTAAGCCTCAGTGTTGTCATCTGAAGAATGGATACAATAACAGTGCCCGCCTTGCAGGGCTGTTGGGAGCGTTAAGCGAGTTGACCTTTATAACGCAGGTAGGGCCATGCTTGGCACAGCATAAATGCTCAAGATAGGTCAGCCATTAATGTTCTTGAGTTCCTTTTATTTCTTTTCAAAGAGAACTATCATTAAACTCCTTTTTTTCTTATATTATCAACAGGTATCCCCTGTTCTCTCTTCTTCATGTTTCCTGGGTAGTTGGCACTGTTGCTCTGCATAAAGTCCAGTCCCCCTTCATGCATTACCTTCTTAACACCCGAATTTTTTTTTACCTGAAACCTTAGAAATATTCCCCTTAAAGCGCTACCAGTTTTCAGCTCTTTCAACCTTCCCACCTTGAGGCACATGGTCATGACCACACCGTAACCATACCTCTTGAGTCTCCTAGTTGAAATGGAAAAGAACCTATCAGTTAAGCCTTTCATCTTTAATTTTAGAGGTGAGAGCCCTACTATTACTCCATACTAGTTTTCCTTCTAAGATGCACGTAGTATTAACACAAAACAACCTCATCAATGATTTAGCTTTAAAAATGAACTGAGGTTTGGGAAAGACATACAAAGTAAAATAGACTGTAAGTGGCTTTTTAAAATTTTGGATATACCTTATAGAATAGCTCCAATAACATCTTCTGGCGAGCCCGCTCATAAGGGTCATATGGATACAGCTTCCTTCCAGGATAAGCATCATCCAGGTACTCACAGGCGATGACAGATTCATAGATCAACTGACATTTGCTGTTCTCCAGGACAGGAATTTGGCCAAAAGGGTGCTTTGTATAGTACCATTCAGGCTTGTTTCTCAGGTTAATGTTGATTACTTCATGTCTTCAAAAGCAGAGGGAAAATAAGACAGAACAAAAATGAGAGGCTTACGCAGACACATTCATATGGAAATTTATAAAATTTATAAAATTTATAAAATTATAAAATTTCAATTTGCAATAAGTTTTTCAAAGTTTAGGTTTCTACAAAGAAAAATACATAGCAACATCATTGTCTCCATTGCTATAGTTAAGACGAGCTAGGGGCGCCTGGGTGGCTCAGTCGGTTGAGTGTCTGACTTCGGCTCAGGTCATGATCTTGCAGTTTGTGGGTTCGAGCCCCACATCAGGCTCTGTGCTGACAGCTCAGAGCCTGGAGCCTGCTTTGGATTCTGTGTTTCCCTCTCTCTTCCCCTTCCCCGCTTATGCTCTGTCTCTCTCTCTTTCAAAGATGAATAAACTAAAAAAAAAAAAAAAAAAAAAGACGAGCTAAACATTTTTTCTGCCTTGTCTTGTTTGCTCTTTGTGATTCCTGCCTCCAAGAGGTTCAATCTCCTGCCCATTATCACTGCTAGGAAATAGTACAGCCAAGCTGAGAGTCAGGAAGTCTGACTCAGAGCTCACACTCTTAAGCACAGCATTACAGAGTTTCCTACGTTTTAAAGCTTGCAAATACAAATATGATATTAACAAGTCACAAAAGGATATGGTAAATATTAGTAGTTATGAGCTCAAACTCTGGCATCAGATTGCCTGTGGTTTGGACTGTCTAGCTTGTGATGCTGGACAAATTCCTTAACCTCTCTGTGTTCAGTGCCCTTAATTGTAAAATGGGAGGAATCATTGTGGCCATCTTGGCATTGTGGTGAGGATCAAATAAGTGTGTCTAAAGTGCTTGGGACAGTGCCTAGGTACATAAGCATGTAATAACTTTTTTATTCTTCCCATTATTATTATTAGAGGCTCAAGCCTATAAAGTTACCAGAAGTGCTCATATGTTTAAAAGAGTAAAGGAAACAAATGAGTATATTCTTTGCTCAGTCAAGGAGAGTATCTTAAATCCTAAAGCAGTGGTTTTCAGCCAGGAGTAATCCTGCTCCATTCTGCAGGGACATATGTCACTATGTGGAGCCACTTTTTGATTGTCATATCTAATGGGTAGAGACCAGGGATGCTGCTAAATGCCCAACAATGAAGAGGACAGCACCCCACCCCACCCCAAACACACACACACACACACACACACACACACACACACACCCCAAAGATCTACCTGGCCCAGAATGTCAATAGTGCCAAAGTTGAAAAACTCTGCCCTAAAGAAATACTTACATTGCTTCCTAAACTATCAATTTGTCACTTAAGGGTAAAACCTGGAGCTGTTGTTATTTTAAATAGGTAACCTTAGGGCCAACTAGACTCAAGCCATAAGGAAGAATCTGGAAGTGTATGCCATATACACTCAACAGAACAGAATTGCATAATAAAATGTCTCTCCATTATTATTTCTTGGTATTTCTCTGACATCAGTCTGAAACTCTGAAGTCATCCCTTAATGACTCCCTTAATCCCTTAATGACTCTCCAAGAGAGTCAAAAGCCTGGAATAACACAACCTCAACACTTTGGCTCTGGCTAGCTGCACTCCTCAGTCCGTATTCCAGCAAAGTTGCTCTACCCAGTTCCATACCCAGACCTCCTCTGCAGGTGCTAGTTTTGCAAATTCCTTCTGGAAGAAAATGTACCTATTTCTCAGGTATGTTAGAACCTTCAAGACACCTCTTGACTGCAGTTCTTTCTACCTACTTCATTGATTGGAACTATTTGTTCATTCATTCAAAAAATATTTTTCAACACCTACCATGCACCAGGCTCTCTTCTAGCTCAGGAGTAAAACAGACAAAAGCCCTACCCTAAGAAATTACATTTGGCCACCGGGGGCGGGGTGGGGGGTGGCGGTGGTGGCAGTGGGGCCGAGGAGCGTAGAGGGGAGAGGAACGAACGGATAAAATGCTGGATGCGGTAAGCGGAATGAAGAAAGTGAACTGAAGTTGCCTGGTTGCCTGGGTGGGGGGCCCATTCGCTGGAGCAGTCAGAGAAGGCCTCGTAGCAGCCGCAGTGCCCTTCCTTCACAAGCATTACGGGAGGGAACCGGCTCGCCAGAGGCAAGGTTCAGTTTACCGCGAGATGTCCTGGAAGTTTCCGGCACAGACACCGCTACGAACTAGCCGTGCAGTTCAGGACCGCCTGCTAAAGAACCCGCCCTCTGCTAACCACTTACCGACTCTGCCTCAGAAGAAAGGGACACAAGGAGCGCCTCTGAAATCCGGGCAGGGCGCCCCAGATTTTGAGCACCCCGCTCGCCTCTGTGGCTCTGGCTTTCAGCTTCTCACCTGATGCCTTTGGCCCGGAGGACAAGGCGCGTCCTGTGCGCAAAGGGGCAGAACCTCATACTGTAGACGCGGATCAGGCCCTCTGGGACGGGCCCCGGGGGGCAGCTTCCTGCGGGGGGTGGGAGGGATCGAGGGACCGGTGAACCCACGGGGAGGTGGGCTCACTCACCTCCCGGGGATCCCAAGAGAACTGCTCGCACCCCGCCTCCCGAGTCCCAGAGAGGACACATTTCATTCGGCTTTTGTGCAGAGAAACCCCTCAAGTCCCTCCCCGCCGCGCTGGTCTGGGGGCCATGGCCCGACAGCCCCATCTCCCAGAGCCAACATCCCCAGCCACGCGGAGCCCCCAGTCCGGGGACAGCTGTCGAGGGGGCTCACCTTTCCCAAAGGTCCTGGTCGCATCCTCCATGGTCTCCCGGCGTCTGCGCGGCGTGTTACCCTCGCCGCGGCCGCAGGCTCTAGGGACAGCTTCGCTCCAGCCTGCCCCTCCTAGCCCCAAATTCAATTTTTGAGTAACTGAGGTCGGGGTTGAAGGGGAGGCGGCGAGGGGACAGAAGGGAAGTGATCTGGGACGGGAGCTAGGACAACTTAACCGAAAGAGACATCTGCCCAGATCTGGAAGCCCAAAAGGCAGAGCGAGCAAGAGAACCCTGAAAAGAACCCCTTGCCTTGAACACGTGGTAGAGCATTCAGGGTGGGTCTCTCCTCCAGATCCAAAGTCCCTGAAGATTGGGCATTTAAACTCCAGCTTGTATTTCAAGGGAGTTCAGTAAAACTTGACCAGAGTAATGATACGTTTTCTTTCCCATCCTAAACCCTCCCTCCTGCATCTCTAAGACAATTGGACACAACCTCCCTATAATGAATAAGATTTGTTTGTTTTCAGTGAAGCCAGACTTCCTCCGGATATAGCAGATAAGGATGAAAACTTGTTAGTGTTGAAATCTTGCATGACCAGGAGAGTGAGTGCCTCCTTAAATTTTTTGCGGAATGAGGCCCCTCACTTGCTTCACCTTTATTCTCGCCCTATTTGTGACATTTTATCCTAGCTACAGAAAACTAGTGATGAATAGGAACATTCTTTACCTAGAGGCAAGGACAAATTTGTAAATTCTTGCCACTCCCAGCACTCATTTCAGAGAAAACTCAAATTGCCAAGGAAAACATGGCCAACAACCCAGCAATACAGGGACCACTTGGATAGCTCTTCCGTCTACCTTACATAATGGAGGTAGCTGATCTTTGTTCTGACTCTGATAGGCTGAGATCATGAAATTTAGCAGGTAGTAAAATAATTCCTTTAACTTTACAGGACTTGGTTGAAATGGGAATTGCTTGTCAATGGATTGTATAAGATTGACAGGTAAAGAAGGAAAGAAAAGTATGATCTGTCTCACTCACACCAACTGATTTCCATTGACTACCTTGTTTGATTCCCATGACTACTCAGTTAGGCAGCTAGTATTATTCCTATCTTGCAAAACAGAAAAGAGCCTCGGAAAAATGAAATTACTTGCCCAACGTGACCAGTGAGTGGGGTTGAAGAACTTTAAAAGTTCAAAGCCTGACTTTATTGTCTTGGCCTCTAAAGTTGGTTAAGAGGGTAGGAATGTTAAGTCCATTCTTATAAGTGTTGATTATGTGTGAGATATAACACATAACAGCTGCTCAGATGTCCACTAAATTTAAATATCTTTATTAAAATGGCAGAACCTAATTATGTAACTTATGAATGGGTATCTTTTGGCCTTTGGAATTTCAATCTATCCAGAAATCATTGGTTAATAGGTTGGTTTTTTTTTTTCTACTGAATAAGAATCTTTAAAAATCTTCAGGATAGTGACTCGGTTACTACATTTTTTGCTAAGTCATTCAGAGTGAATTCATGTGGTTTTGAGTAGTTGTCGCTTTATAAGAATTGGAGAGTGGCAAAAAATGTTTGAATAAGTGTTCTCTGGAAAGAAAATATTATATGTCAGTAGGACATCTGGTATTGCAAAAGGTAAACTGACTTGCCATGCTAACAATTTTGCATTTTGGAAGACAGATAAAGTAATAGGATAACTACTATTCTGGAGCTAATTTTGACCAAGAACAACAAATTAGTGGAGCGCCTGGCTGGTTCAGTTGGTAGAGTGTGCGACTCTTGATCTGGGGGTTGTGAGTTTGAGCCCGACTCTGGGTGTAGAGATTACTAAAATATTTTTTTAAAGGGGGGTTGGGGAAAGAACAAATTGGATGGTAAGATGAAAGCAATGAATATAGCCATATCACGTGAGAGCTTCTTGGTAGACAAGGAAGTGACTCCTCGGCAGACCAATGTATCCTCACATAAGAAAAGCAGATTCAAAGAGTTGGAAGAAAATATATCCAGATTTTAAAGGGGGGGGGCATAAGAGGAATGTGAAATTATTACTAACACATATTTGGTGCTTTATGTGTATTCAATCATTTAATCCTTAAAATAGTCCTATAAGAATTCTATAATTTTAGTTTAAAAGACGACCAAGCTGATGCTAGCAAGGTGAAGTCACTTGTCAAAAGCCTCACAACTAATAAGAGGTGGAGGGAGGATTCTGAAGCCTGGAAGTTCAACTCCTGGAGCAGCAATCCAACCAGAATCTTATTCTATCCCAGAGTTGGGCAAACTTTTCTATAAAAGTTGAGATAATAAATACTTTAGGCTCTTCCAGCCAGCTTGTCTCAACTACTCTCTACATTTTAGGGTGAAAACAGCCAGAATTAATATACAAATGAATGGGTGCGGCTGTGTTTCAATAAAACATTGTGAATGCTGAATTTAAATTTTATATATATTTTAACGATTTTATTTTTAGAGTAGTTTTCGATTCACAACAAAATTGAGAAGATACGATTTCCCATATACTCACTACCCCTACACATACACAGACTCCTCCACCATCAACATCCCCCATCAGAGGTACAGTTTTATAATCGATGACCCTGCATTGACACATCATTGTCCAATGCCCACAGTTTTCATTAGGGCTCACTTTTGGTGAATTTCATATAGTTTTCATGTGGCACAAATTATGATTATTCTCTTGATTTTTTTCCAACCATTTACAAATGTAAAAACCAGGGTGCCTGGGTCACTCAGTTGGTTAAGCATTCACTCTTGGTTTGGGCTCAGGTCATGATCTCACGGTTCATGAGATGGAACCCTGCATTGGGCTCCGGGCAGACAGCACGGAGCCTGTTTGGGATTCTCTCTCCCTCTGCCTCTCTCTCTCTGACCCTCCCCTGCTTGTGCTCTCTCTCTCCCTCAAAATAAATGAATAATCTTGAAAAAAAAAAAAAAAAGAAGTAAAAATGTAAAAACCATTCTTAGGTCTTGGACTGTAAAAAATCCAGCAGTGGAGGGGCACCTGGCTGTTTTAGTCAGTTAAGTCTTCGACTTTGGCTCAGGTCATGATCTCATGGTTTGTGGGTTCGAGCCCCGCCTCCGGCTCTGTGCTGACAGAAGCCTGGAGCCTGCTTCTGAGTCTGGGTCTCCCTCTCTCTCTCCCTCTCTCTCTCTCTCTCTCTCTCTCAAGAACAAATAAACATTAAAAACCAGCACTGGACTGGATTTGACCTGTTGGCCTTAGTTTGCCCATCCCTGCTCTATACTGACAATGACTGAATTAACAATAGACAAATTGGGAATTACATTAGCAAAGTAAAAGGTTCCTGAATCATCTTATTACTATGCCAGAAGAGAATGTATTTCCAACTTTTTTCTCTCATCCCCACTCATCAGGAAAATCAACTCTAAGAGTTGGAAGATATTATTTATTAAAAGTATACCTGTGTGTTGGAAGCCACATTCTAAAATGGGAGTGTAGTTGGTGAAGTTAGAAAAGATAGAATGATGGAAACATTTCTTTCTCCGAAAAGAAGTAATATATTGTCAAGATTCTTACTTGGCACTATATTTAAACCCTGGCTTTGGCTCTTGGGCAAGGTATCTAACCTCTTGGACCTTCATCTTCATCATCTGTAAAAAAACACTAATCGTAGCTACTTGATAGGTTTTGAATATTGAATGAAATCGTGCACATCCTCAGTATAGTAAGAGCTCAGTGTGTTTGGAAATTAATGACTAATATTAGTGAATAAGAACACATGTCTAATAGCACAGTGCACTCCAATTTTGTATCTATAAAGATGAAATGTACCGCAATTCTGCTTTGCCAGGCACATTAGAATTAAAATTCAACTCAAAATACTTATTTCACCAGCTACCAATTTAATGCCAGTTGAATGGGTTGCAGGCTGCAAGCTACATTTCAGTAGTGTGGTTCTTAATCTTACCACTGAATGCTATGGTTTCCCTAGAAAGATTTTAATTATGACCTTTAAGCTTATCCCTACTTCCTTTCTAAGAACCAATATGTACCTCTTTGAAATCCTCTTTGCAAACGTTCTTCTTATGTTATTATATCATGTTTATACCACTATTATACTGATTCACTCAAGCAAGAAACAAATAGTAATAGGGCTATATGAAACCTACTCTAAATCATTTCTAGCTACCTGAAACAGAACCGGATCAGTTTTGAAACTGTGGGGAACTTCAGTCATGGGTGATAATTATTCAAGCCTTCTACGAAAAGAATGCCACCAGAGAAATAATTTCTTTAACTACACATGTCTCTGTTTTGAGAAACGGAGAGAAAGCAGAGTTTGCATTTTGCAGTTAAAAAACTTTTTTTTTTTTTTTGTTACACCAATCTCTGACAGTGGCAGAAACTGGAGGACATTTCAGAAGCCTAATTTACATGAAAAATTATGTTACCGGGTGTTCAAAACTTGTTTGCCAAGTTCAAAGAATGCGATAAGTAAGGGGAAAATCTCTATTTTCCCAGGACTGTTTCCAGCAAGTTGGGCTCATAGGGAATCCTGTGTTCTAATGCCTTTGGGACTTTTTTGTTTCAGTTTTATTGAGACATAATTGACATACAGCTCTGTATGAGTCTAAGATACAAAGTATAATGACTTATATAAATTGTATAATGATTACCTCAATGAGTTTAGTTACCATCCATCTCCTCATACAGTTTAAAAAACAAAATCTCCCCACGAGATCTTTTAGGATCTACTTTCTGAGCAACTTTCAAATATACCATACAGCGGTGTTACATATAGTCATCTTGTTGTACATTACATCCCCAGGACTTACCTATAACTGAAAGTATGTAACTTTCCACCACTTTATTTTAATCCCAATGCCCTCCTGAACTACACACACACACACACACACACACACACACACACACACACACACCCCAATCTGGGACACATCAAATAAGATTACTAAAGTTACCAGAGGAAGAACTTCATCATCCCACTATGGAATCCTGAGTCAAAGGAGAATTTCTTCCTAAGTACTGGATTCCACTTTCCTATTCCTATTTCTCCTTACAGCTTGGGGGATCAAAGAAAAAAAAATTAAACATTTTAATATGTTATCATTTGAAAGAGCAAAGGCAGATTTTCAAGATCCTGAAATTAGCCAAAGTCAAATATTTGTAAAATTTAACAGAACACACTAAATTTGAAAAAGGAACATCAACACTTCCTGTTAAATCCCAGACATAATAGTGGTGTGTCCAAAAGGTGGATACTATCCTCTCCTGGCTCAGCCTCTAAATGCTAGTGAATAGAGACTGGGGCAGAAGCAAATGTATGATCTTATCTCAAGAATGCTCTGAACGGCTGTAGGAGTTCAGGCTGGATTTAAATCACCTCTTTAGCATTTACTAGCTTGGTGACCTTGGGAAACACACAACTTTCTATGCCCCAATGTTCCCCCTCCCATAATTTAGAGCCAATAGTACCAACACATTCTGTAGCTTGGGGAGGATTAATTCAGATACTGGTTAAGAGACATTTAATACCTAGCAAGCACTCAACATTAGCTATTATTTTTATTAGTATTTGAACGTAGCAGGGGAGTCCCATAAATCCTCACAACGTGAAGACTTTCGCGGGGACCAAATTTGCCTGCAGCGAATGCCCTGTAATGTAGCTAACCTAGTGGTGCCGGATGCAAGCCTGAGAATTCCTGATCTTCGGTCGTCTTTACCTACTCCAGCCAAACCAGAAAAATAAGAATAATTTAATGAGGTTTTTTTTTTAAGTTAAAGGGATTCGCTTTAAAGACCTGTTCTTTAAATTATAGAGCTTGTGCTTTTCTTGATGTTAAAATCTTTGATGAAACTTTGATGAAGATAAGTCGTTGGGTTTTCCTTTTAAAAGTGTTAGGCAAACCCGAAATTCGTGAAAAATCCAAAATCCATTATTGACCTCAAACCCCTCTCCCTTCCAATGCACCACAGACCGGACAGACCCACCCGGGGGAGGTAACAAGAGAAAGACACACCGGACTGACCCACTCGCGCCCGGCGGACAGAATCGGAAGTAGAGCGGAGCCAGCAGTAGCTGGCAGTAGCAGCGGAGGGAGGTGGGGCCCAGGCGGAACCCGCCCCTTAGAACGCGATCCTACCCGCCGACTGGCCGCGGAGCCTGGAACTCCAGCCAGTCTTTAAAGCCTTTGAAAGCCCTACGGCCAAGCAGTGCGGAGCTGAGCCAATGGGCGGCCGCGTTACAGGCTCCTGGATACCGAAGTCGGGAGTGCTTGCGGTGTCGTAGCTGGCAAAAGTAGAAGCCAGGTCGTGGCTGGCAATGGCAGCTCAGCGCCCCGGTCTACATTCGACTGAAGTGCCCGCAGCCGACCGGGGCCTGGAGGGTGGGGCAGGCGGACGGCGGCAGAGATGAGTCCACCCGGAGCTTGGGCGTGGGTGGCGGCCGAGGGTTTGCGGCAAGAGGCCTTTTGTGAAGTCAATCGGTTCTCACGGCCTCTCAGGGTGCGGTCCTTGGATCGCCTGTATCACCATGGGGTGGGGGTGGGGGAGGGGGAGAGCTCGTTTCAAATGTGGACTTTGCAGCCCACCCTGGACCCACCGAATCGGAAATCCAGCGGTGAGCCTTAGGTGATTGTTATGCGCTCTTACGTTTAAGAATATGTACCGGAGGGGCGCCTGGGTGGCGCAGTCGGTTAAGCGTCCGACTTCAGCCAGGTCACGATCTCGCGGTCTGTGAGTTCGAGCCCCGCGTCGGGCTCTGGGCTGATGGCTCAGAGCCTGGAGCCTGTTTCCGATTCTGTGTCTCCCTCTCTCTCTGCCCCTCCCCCGTTCATGCTCTCTCTCTGTCCTAAAAATAAATAAACGTTGGAAAAAAAAAAAGAATATGTACCGGAAACCAGACTGTAATGGGGTGGGTCGACAGCTCACTGATATTCACAGTGTGTTGGCTGTGTTCTCGATCTTTCTGCCAGCATCTTAAGGACCCATTTAGCTTCGGGATCTTAGTAAAACCATCTGTAGAATGAAATGATGCTCTTTGACCTAAGTTCTTTTTTTTTTATTTCTTTAAATTTTTATTTTTTTAACATTTGTTCATTTTTTAAAAATTTTTTTTTCAACGTTTATTTATTTTTGGGACAGAGAGAGACAGAGCATGAACGGGGGGAGGGGCAGAGAGAGAGGGAGACACAGAATCGGAAACAGGCTCCAGGCTCTGAGCCATCAGCCCAGAGCCCGACTCGGGGCTCGAACTCACCGACCGCGAGATCGTGACCTGGCTGAAGTCGGACGCTTAACCGACTGCGCCACCCAGGCGCCCCAACATTTGTTCATTTTTGAGAGGCAGAGAGACACAGGGCATGAGCAGGGGAGGGGCGGGGAGAGAGGGAGACACAGAATCTGAAGCAGGCTCCATGCTCTGAGCTGTCAGCACAGAGCCCGAAGCGGGGCTTGCACTCAAGAGCAGAGAGATAATGACCTGAGCCCAAGTTGTACCCTTAACCAACAGAGGCACCCAGGTGCCCCTGACCTACCTTCTTCTAATGGAAGTAATGTGATGATAAAAATTAAATAGAAGCTCGGTGGGCTATGGAAGATAGCATTAATATTTCTGAATTACTCATCCAGACTTACATCGGAATTGATAGATGTGGTCTCCACATTATTTAAAAAAAAAAAAATTTTTTAATGTTTATCTTTGGAAGGGGGTAGGGCAGAGAGAGAAGGAGACACAGAATCCAAAGCAGGCTCCAGGCTCTGAGCTGTCAGCACAGAGCCCAACGCAGGGCTTGAACTCCTGAGATAGTGACTTGAGCTGAAGTCAGAAGCTTAACTGACTGAGCCACCCAGGCGCCCCTTCACAGTATTTAGTTACATTTATGGGATACCTGCCATGTGCCCAGCATGGGAGTTGGTACGAAGAATTTGAAGGGCATTGAGATTGAAGACGGGGAAACCAAATAGGAGGACACTTAGTCACCTAACTTTGAGGTGTTATTAGTCTGGTCTTAAGTGGTGACAATGGGAATAAAAAAGGTAGTGAAATTAAGTTGATGGAAAGAAAAGAATGAGGAATTGAAAACTTGAGAAGGCAGCTGTAGAAACAACAGAGTATCCAAGTGGAAATGTCCTATGGGCAGGAAGAAATCTAGATTGAAGTCCAGTTCTCACCAGAGATGATGATTTAGAGATTTTCAGCAGAAACTATGATAAAACCCTTAGAAGCATGTGAGCTTACATTTCTGTAGGAAGGCCTTAAGGGCCTTAAGCCACGATGTCAAATCAGAGAAGGTGATCCAGCGAGACATGAGAGCATTTGGTAAAATGAAAGCATGTTTTCCTCATATTCGTGAAGGAAAATATCAGACATCTCTTCATGGCTGACTCCTGCCCCCATCAGAGCCCATAATCACAGGCCTCAGGGCTGTTCTGCAAGTAGAGCTCTAAGAAACCTCGAAAGGCCTTCGCCTCAATGAGGAGGGAGGACACTGCAGGATCTTCCCTCATGGCTGCCATCCAGAGCTTAAGTTTTGGAGTGTGATCTACACACCTGTGGGAAGGGAAAAGAATGAACATGTGAGCTAGATGAACTAGGAAGGCATTGCAAAGTCTCCTATACCATTATCACTCTACAGTTTCCTTTTGTTTTCCTCTAATCTTTTAAAATATTTCTTTACAATGCACATAACCAGAATATTAGATTTGGAAGATATTTTAGAGGTCTTTGTTTTGTGGAAGAGGAATCCTAGAGTCAAGTGACTTGCTCAGTTAGCACAAGAATGCATCCAGGCAGACTGATAACTTTGTTAAAATGAGAACATGAAAGACAGCCATGGATGTTATATAGTTATTATTCTATAGCAAGACTGACTAAAAGTAACCCTGAATAGCTCTAAGAATTGGGAGTAAGCCAAGGTGGCTGCCTAACTTCAAAACATGGAGTTTAGAAACTAGTGTGGGGATCCTGCTGGAAAATGGGAGGGAGCATTGGTCATACAATCCCACATGATAAAGCTTATAAAAATGCACTTACTTACGGATTTTTAGCCAGAAGGGAAGGAGTAAATTATTTTTAAAACATTTTGTTACATGTTGCAGTACTCTCTGCCCACCCCTGCACCGCACACTTCCAGGAATGGAGAAGGGGGGTGAGTATATGCCCTGGATAGTCCAAGACTCTCCTCCTGTCTGCTTGTGCCCATTCATACCAGTTGTATAAAACAGTTTCATTTTTGTTCAGGAAAAAAGGTCAACATATAATATGCCAGTCATCATTATCCTAAATTATGTACAAAATACTCAAATGTCTTACTCATTTAACTCCAGAACTTCGAGCCGTTCAAACCAGGGCCAGATGAGGTAATCAATCATAGAAAGAGAATTGCCACCAAAGAAGGTTGTCTTCTTATTGGTCAGAACCTGAATGTTAAACAGCATGAGAGTACTGCTTAAGTGTGCATTTCGTAAGATTCATCATCAGATATTAGGAAGACCAGGTAAGTAGAGCAAGTGAGAGAAGTAGCTTTTATGCCGACATATTCAAGTTGGCTTTTTGTTTGAACTTTATTTTTTTCTTTTTTTTTTTTCAACTTTTTTTTAATTTATTTTTCTGGGACAGAGAGAGACAGAGCATGAACGGGCGAGGGGCAGAGAGAGGGAGACACAGAATCGGAAACAGGCTCCAGGCTCTGAGCCATCAGCCCAGAGCCTGACGCGGGGCTCGAACTCACGGACCGCGAGATCGTGACCTGGCTGAAGCCAGATGCTTAACCGACTGCGCCACCCAGGCGCCCCTTGTTTGAACTTTAGAATCTCCTGGTTTGGGATGAAGCAAACAATCAACAAAATAAACTGGAAAGTAGAGAAAAATAAAACAAGCCACAGACTACAAGATGTTTGTAATACACACACCCAACAGAGGACTGGCATTCAGAATATAGAGAGAAATCCAACACCTCTGAGGAATCAATAAGAAAAAAAGGCAAACAACTCATTAGAAATTTGGGCCAGACTTGAACTTCATAAAAGAGGATATCTCTATGGCCAAAAACCATTTGAAAAGATATTCAACTGCATTAGTCATCAGGGAAATGCAAATTAGGGCCAGAATGTAATACTACCACACATCCATCAGAATGGCTAAAATGAACAAGACAAAGTTAGCAAGCAGAACCACTGCTGGCAGGAGCAAAAACTGGCACAACCATGTTTTCACAGTATGTAATAAAGCTGCCTGAATGTTCATACACTCCAACCCCATGATTCTCCTCTTTGGAAATGTGAACATCCATTCACCAAAAGATAGATATGAGAATGTTAATTGCAGCACTATTTGTAACAGCCCCAAGATAGAACTGTTCACTGTCCATCAGTAGTAAAACGGATAAACAAACTGCTATAGTCATAGGTTGAAACACTATACAAAGAACAGGAATGAACTATACACAATATAGATGAATCTCACAAACCTAATGTATGAAAGAAGCCAGACTCCGAAGAGTACATATCCTAGGATTCCATATGTATAAAGAGCAAAAACAGCCAGAACTAATACTGTTTCTTGTTATGGGTGCTAATTCCATGACTATGTTTACTTTGTAAAAATTCATCAAGCTGTACTCATGCTTTGGGTACTTCTCTGCATGTAATACTTCAATTAAAATTTTACCTAAAATATGCTGGAAATAACTGGATTAACTATTTTTTTAAAGGTTTTTTTTTGTTTTTTTACATTTATTTATTTTTGAGAAACAGTGAGACAAAGCATGAGCGGGGGAGGGGCAGAGAGAGAAGGAGACACAGAATCAGAAGCAGGCTCCAGGCTCTGAGCAAGCGGTCAGCACAGAGCCTGATGCAGGGCTTGAAGCCACAAACTGTGAGATCATGACCTGAGCTGAAGTCAGATGCTCAACCGACTGAGCCACCCAGGTGCCCTTGGATTAACTATTAAACTGATGTCAAAATTATTTGAAAGCCAAAACAAGTTATATGTTCCTGAAATTCAAGAACGTGCCTTGGCATTAATGGTTTTGCCAAAGTAAAGAAACAGAATATTATCTGCCTAATAAACAAACCAACTTACTGTTTATAAAACTTCTGCAATTTTCCTCAGGGCCCGTATAACAGTCTGCATTATAGATTGATGGCATATATCAACCATCTACTACCAAACTAAATATCTGAAGAGTATAGACAACATCTTACTTTCTACCTCCCATACTTTCTAGCAGAGTACCTTGTAGTTATTAGGCACTCAGAATTGTACAATGAATCGATATTAACTGGGTCCTTAAACTATAGTGTCTGGTTATTATATTCTGCATAAATAAAATTTAGTATGACAGTTTAAATCAGAAGGAAATAACCCTCTCAGCAACCTAAAGCATGGAAATGATATTACTCACTTTGAAGCATGAGTTCTTAATCTGGAGTCTGAACTTAGATGAGAAAAAAGTACATACCTTCTCCCAACTCCACTAACCCCACAGTTAGCAGGTATTTCCATTATGAAATAAACCACAGTAGAGTTAATCTTACATATTTTAATTTAAGCATTTATAAGCATGGGCTTTACCAGGTTGCCAAACACAAAAGTCTTAATCTTCAAAGAAACAACATCCCACATGCATTCTCTGACCATAATATAATTAAATTAGAAAACAGCAAAAGATGTAGTTTAGGAAACTTACAAGTACATGATCAATAATTGGTAGGCAATGAGAAAATCATGGAAACAGAAAAAAAAAAATTTAGAACTGAACAATGAAAGTCCTTCACAGTAAAACATACTGGATGCAGCTACGATGTTTAGAAGTAGTGTGTTAGTCATTAATGCATTAAACAATCAAGAAAGACTGAAAATAAATGCATTGAGCTACTGAACTCCTGGGCTAGTTAGTAAAAGCAGAAACAGCCAAACCCTATCAAATGGTTTCTGAGATTAGAAATACAGGGAAAGTAACCCCTCGTTTTATCAGGTTAGAATATCCTTGATATAAAAAATAAGGACACTATGAAAACAAAATAATAGCCCAATCTCATTAATATACAACACCTTTAAGTATTCACTAGTTCTATAGTATATAGAAAAATCCATTGAAAACAATGCTAGGATGGTTTAACACCAGAAAAATCTGTCAATAACACCATATTTATCAGATTAAGGTAAAAAATTCTATGAACATATCAATAGATGTAATAGATATAGACAAAACATTCAGTAAAATCTAACACTCATGCATGACTTTTTGTTTTTTACAGACTAGAAACATTTTTCTTAAAAAAAAGTTGTGAAGAAAGTCTACAGCAAACTTCAAACTGACAAAATATAGGATACATTCCCATACAAGACAGGAACTATGTCTAGTAAAAACCCAAGGCTGAGCAAGAAAATGGAATGTTTCAAGGCCAAGAGAAAGACTTGATCTAAAGGCCCAAATGGCAGCTTTGCCCCAAGGGAGGTAAAAACTCAGCCGGGCTTCTCCAAGTGTCTTTACGATTCATGGCAAACTCTGTGGTGGGAAATGTTTATTATGTATTATTAAGTGGAAAAAACACAGAATAATATCTATGCCCTGATTAGTTATGTTAACCTTTCTTTCCTTTCTTTCTTTTTGTTGTTTTTTTTGTTTTAATATATGGATGAGGACTAGAAACAGGCATGGAAAAATGAAAACAGGTGACAAATTGTGGAAATATCAGTGCATTTCTCCCCCTTGTTAACATCAGTGCAACAAATTGTTTTAAAAGCAAGCCATGACAAAATATTTTTAGGTGTGTTGATTTCTATCTTAAATGCACCTGCTTATAGCAATCTGTTGTAACCTAAAATTCCTTAATTGATGTTATTACTAACTGTCACAAACTGATTTGGGAAACGGGAATAGAAAGAAAGAAGAGGGCAGGAACAGTGTATCATTTACTCTGATAAAAGCTAGGAGAAGAGATTACCTCCTCTAACTTGCTGAATTCTTTACGCAATTCTTCTTTTAGGCCAGAGCCGTCTTCGTTTTGTCTTCTAATGAAGCTTGTTACCAAAGGGGGAACCTAGACAGAGTAGTTTCTTACTGTCAGTGTGAGGCTAACTATACCGGCCCCCTCACTGAACCCTCAGAGTCCCAGTTCAGGGTGTTTGAGAAACTTGAAAGGTGCACCCATTCCTGTGTTCACAGAGGTCAGGTATCAATCTTAGAAACAATTTTGCGGTGAAAGGTGCTGTTTGGTCAGGATTTTATAAGTTGCAAATAGTAGAACCCACTTTGGCGAGTTTGAGCCAAAAATACCTTTTAAAAAGTATTGAGTAGCCCATTGAATTATTGAGAGGCTGAAAAAAAAAAAAGGCTGAGAACTAAGCTGGAACATTCCAAAATCATGCTCCGAGCTGACCTCATGGGAAGCACCCACTGCTGCCAGTGAGCTGAGCACTAGGTGCTGCGGTTTGTACCTTTGCCAGAAGTGGGACTCGGAGGTAACTAAAGCCCGGAATTTAATCTTGCAACCACCACTGCTCCCGAAAGCCTGGGGCTCTGCGCCACCCTCCCACCCCCTCCCCTGCCACTCCCACCAGCAGAATCAGTGCCCTGTCCCAAGTCTGTCTCCCCACATTGCTCGTTTCTCATTTTTTTTACCTTTAAAAAAAATTTTTTTTATTTTTTATTTTTGAGAGAGAGCCAGAGATAGAGGCAGAGACGGAGACACAGAATCCAAAGCAGGCTCCAGGCCCTGAGCTCTCAGCACAGAGCCTGTTGGGGGGCTCCAACTCCTGAGATCATGACCTGAGCCCAAGTTGGAGGCTTACCTGACTGCGGCCCCCCCCCCCCCCGCCTTTTTTAAAAATATGGAACGCTTCGCAAATTTGCATGTCATCCTGGTGCAGGGGATGGATGGTTCCAATTTTCATACACGCGCTGCTGAAGCAAGCACCACATGGCTCATTTCTGAGCCCAGCTCCACCATGTGTGTTTCTGACAGGAAGAACCTAGGTCCCAGGCATTGGCCCCAGCTGCAAAGGGAGCTGGGGAAGAGAATTTTTCTGCTTTCCACCTTGGGGAGGACATGAGAAGGGTGTTCGAAGGGGCTGACTACCTGAAGACTCACAGGCGTAGTGCCAGATGCTGTAGGGCTCCTGCTGGAGGCATTTGTGTGTTTTCTCACTGCAAGAGCTTGAAGTCCACTCATCTCAGTTTATCAACAGGTGCTTGTAAAAATCCAGGAGAATGTCCTGATATCCTGTCCGTATCAGTACAGCTTGCCCTCTTTGGAACTGAAAGTTTGCTGGCAGCACTTCTGTATGCAGTTCCATCTGGGCATGCCTGCTTTATCTATCCCTGCCTTGCCTTAAATGTCTGCTCCATATGGTTTCCTATATATCAAGATATCAAGTCCCTTTGCAATGCTCTTAATTTCTGCTTCCTTAAAAAATGTATTTTTTACATGCCTTTGGTTTGTTAAGCCTCAAATTATATAAACACACACACACACACACATATATACACACACACACATTTATACACACACACACACATCTCTAAAGCTTCAACACCTTTACTGTTAATCTCTGTGTCTCAGTTTCAAGTTCTCAGGAAAGAAGATGATTGGCTGCAGGTACAAGTGGGGGCATTTCTGGTTTGCTGAGAGCTGTGGCCAGGAGGGAGGGGGCATATGGTACCTAAGGCCACCTTTTCCCTGAATGTGAGCTGGGAAGTAATGGTGAACATCTCCAGCTTTTAGCTTATTTTCTTTCGAGACAATACAATGAATCTTTTTTTTTTTTTAAAGTAATCTCTACACCCAATATAGCACTTGAACTCACAACCCTGAGGTCGAGTCTCATGCTCTACCAACTGAGCCAGTCAGACGCCTCTACAATGAATCTCTTGTTACTTTTTTTTTTTTTTTGAATTCTCCAACATCTTTCTTCTAATTGCCATGTTCCCTGTCTATCACTTTTGACAGCAGGTATCTGCTATTTCCCTCTCCTTCTGCTAAGCCAGACAACTCCCTCTTCCTTCCCCATTGGCTTCCCTTTGCAATGTCTCCTTACATAATACATTCTCTCTGTAAGTTCCACCTTCGAGGTATTTCTTTAACCATTTAAAGAAGACAAGATATGCCGACATATATTCTGATAAATAATAGGGGTATAGAGATAACTTGACATAGCTATACCTGTTGTCTACTATTGGGCATTTCTTTGTTAATATCAATTGTTTGAACTATCTACAACCTCGATGCTGACTAAAATAGTTCTTCTACAAGAATGTCATTTACTCAGCTAAGAGCTACTGCCAACACACAGTAGATGCCCGCTGCTAGACACTGTGGCTAGAACCACAAGAGCTAACACAGTATTTACCATGTGTCAGATTCTGCTCTAGGTGTTTTATATAAACTGATTTTTATCTGCAAGAAGGGAGCAGTTATTATACTAGTTATTATATTCCTTTTACAAGTAATGAGCTGAGGCACAGAAGTAAATGAGTAACTTTCTCAGAGTCACACAACTAGGAAGAGGCAGAGTGGGTCACAGACCTAGGCAGTGAGCCAACAGTGATGGGAACACGGCTTCACCTTCAAGGAGCTCACAGCCCTGGTGCAACACACAGGCAAGAAGGCAGGCAGTCACTGGCCCAGAGAAGTTAACACATGTGGGAACACAGCTGGGCACTAAGCCAGTGCGGACAAGCTTCTGGAAGGCAGCAGAACCTGAGCAGATACATGAACGAGAACTTGGAGATAACCAGGCAAAGTGAGAAGGGGGAAGATTTAAGGAGGAGGTGGCAAGTCTGGGAAAGCAAAATATTCAGCGGCTGGAATACACTGTCCAAAGAGTAAGGAGGGCTAACATTGGAGAGGCAAACAGGAACTGGATGGTGAAAGGACTTGCAGGACATGTCAGAGCAGATAAGAGCACTGCTTTCTTTTCCTTTCCCACATTCCTGAGTCATAAATGACAACACCGATTTAGCTTAAACAACAAAGTTTGTTCAAATAAGAGCTGAGATTTCTTATACACACACCTTAGAAAATAACTCAAAGACCATCTTTTGGCAAGCTTTCTCATAGGGGTCATCTGGCAACAGCTTCTTCCCTGGATATGCTTCATCCAGGTACTCACAAGTAATGGCAGATTCATAGATCAGTTGACCCTGACTGTTTTCCAGAACTGGCACCAGACCAAAGGGATTCTTCGTAAAGAACCACTCAGGCTTATTTTTCAGGTTGATGTTGATGATTTCATGCCTGAAAGACACACAGAAGACAATGAAGAGAGTGGAACTTTTTCTTTTTCTTTTTTTTTTTTTTTTTTTTTGGTACTTCTGAGTAGATCCTTACCAGCCCTACCATCCACTTAGCTGATTGGACCCCAAATTTAGGAGTCAAATCAGTCTTGATTCCTTCTCCCTTGATCCCTCTGTCTCAAGTCAAATAAATGGATGGATCATCAAGACCTGTCGGCTAGACCTCAAAATCATATCCACTTTTCAGCTATACTGCTACCATCTGGTCCAAAACATCATCTGCCAGCTGGACCACTATAGTAGTCTCCCACTGGCCACTGCTTCCACTGTGCCCTCCCTACAGTCCATTTTCCACACACAAGTAAATTGAATCAGGCCACCCTCCTGCTTGCAACCCCTTGATTGCTCCTCATTGCAATGAGCATAAACTCTAAGCCCCTCTGTGGCATGTGATCTGGCCTGTTCTTACTTGTCACACCTGTTTCCTATAACTTTCCCTCTGGTCATTACAATCTGGGCACACTGGCCTTTTTTATATGCCTTGAATTTGCCAAACAAGTTCTCACCTTAGAACATTAACATTTATTGTTCCTCTGCCTTCTCTGCCTGTCTTCTCAGGTCAAACACCATTCCAAGAGGCCCTCCTTGACCACCCTCTCTGAAGCTGCTGAGAGCCTCTATTAACATGATCATCTTGTTTTCCTAATGACATGTATCTGAAATTACTTTGCTCACTTATTTACATGTTTATTATGTCACCTCCCTAGAATGTAAGCTCCTTGAAAGCAGGGATTTTGTGTATCTAGTTCATATTAATAAACAAACATGTAAGTGAGCAAAATTTTAAACAGATTTAAATGCTGTGAAAATAAAAGTGGTTTCAGATAGGGTACTCAGTAAATATTTATTGAATGAATAAGTGGAAAATGCTTCAAGATTGTCAATAAGATAATCCACTTTGGGGTATAAGGTATCATTGCAAATTATAGGAGGTACATAATTGAATTGTATCCATTACCTACTATATGAGAATCAACATGTAAAATTCAATTCCTCTTGCTAAATTGAGTAGAAAGGTCCTCATTTTTTAAAAAAATATTAAGGAATGCAAAAAATCCACCCACAAAACCAAGTTTCAGATTAAATGTCCATGCATTGTTGTTGTTTTTTTTCTTTAATGTTACGTGAGTAAGCTACGCTAAGCAAACCCAAAAGGAGGAAAACAAATGAAATCCAAGCTATATTCAGACTGTAATTAGATCTAACTTGTTTCTTGCCTGAGAGATTGTAGAGGAAATAAAAGAAAGGAAAGCTTCATATAATTGTTAAATCTGAGTAATCATTCAACAGAACAGGTTAGTTACTCAAAAATAATAACACACCAACACCTTTTGTTTCCTACTTCCCCATCCACCTCAGAAGTTAAAATAGTATTTAGTTTGAGGATTTAAATATGTAATCCCCCATGGAAACAGAAATGGCTACAATGAACCCTAGCATTTGTGTATCAAGAGGTTTGTGTGCGGACAGATTACTGGAACTCAGATACAAGCCATGGAAAGAAATACAAGGCCAGCTCCCCGCCAAGGAATTATCAACACTTCTGAAATTTTTATACCATGAAACAAAAGTTGTTTTATACCAACAACAACAATAACAACAACAACAAAATGGGGTTTTTTTTGTGATAAAGAACACACTTAGAACACACTTGGATTTGTCAACCTGACATTATGAGCTAACAAGTCAACACACCTGCCACAAGTTGGAAGATGCACTTTTTAGAGAATACCATGCTTTGTCAGGTTATACCATATGAAAATGTAGCACCTGTCCAATAAAAGTCTTCTGGGTGTGAAACTGAAAACTGATTCAGAATGTAGAAGACCTCTGTTGTTTCCTGTTACCATTCTTCACCCCCATACACACACTATTTTGGTAAAATCAGTCCAGTTTTCCTTTGGAAAACTGTCCCAGTAAATAAGGTAGGTTGTTTTCAACCTAGTGTTCCAGCGGGGCACATAAACCAGGATTTTATGCCTCCCAATCCAGCTGTGCTTGCTCCTATCCTTTTATTTTTATTTTTAATGTTTATTCATTTTTGACAGACAGAGACAGAGTGTGAGTGGGGAGGGGCAGAAAGAGAGAGGGAGACACAGGATCCAAAACCGGATCCAGGCACAGAGCCTGATGTGGGGCTTGAACTCACTGACTGCGAGTCATGACCAGAGCTGAAGTCGGACACTTGACCGACTGAGCCACCCAGGAGCCCCGATACTTTCCAATTACATAAGCATAAGATACATCTTTTTTCAATCCAATTTGAAGAAGATTAGGATAAAATACAAAGTTTGGAATGTTGAGCATTTGGCTATGTGTTCAGAATCAATTTCATCCAAATAAGATGCAAATTTTAGTGAAGTGATGGCTAATTCAAAAATATTTTTGGGGCGCCTGGGTGGCTGGCTCAGTTGGTTAGGCATCCCACTTCAGCTCAGGTCATGATCTCACCATTTGTGAGTTCAAGCCCCACATCGGGCTCTGGGCTGACAGCTCAGAGCCTGGAGCCTGCTTCAGATTCTGTGTCTCCCTCTCTCTCTGCCCCTCCCCTGCTCACACACTGTCTGTCTCTCTCAAAAATAAACATTAAAGAAAAAATTAAAAGAAGAAGCTATTTTTTTTCCTTCAGAAAAAGAATGCATCTTACATTCTTTTAGGTAAAATTATTGTCTGCCTAATTCTCCCCCTAGAAAACTAAAATTAGTTTATAAACCTTAAGCACATGGATGGAAAATTTCTTAAGAACGGGGGCTATGTTTTAAACTTCCACACCCCAGGTATCTAATGTCTGCTCAACAAATTCCAAAGATCATTGGAAGGGAGGGGATTCCAATGGATATTTGGTATCAGGAGCCAACTGACTATAGCATACTCCCTATGCATAACCCATTGGTCAAAAAAAAAACATGCTAATTTCAAAGAGGCTTTGCAAAAGACTAAATTTTTAGGCATAGACACTTTGACTCAACCAACAACCCAACCTATAAGAATATGTCCAGTACAGTTAACTCAGCACTCTGCCAGGACGGTCAAGGCCTGGACTCTGTCCTGGGGTAAATTACCAACTATTAGGGAAGGGACTATATACTCAGAATAACAGCAAACAGTATTAGATATCAGACATGAATGTAGAAGTGGGGTGAAACAAAAGGGCAGTGGACCAAGAATCGGGTATCTACCAGACCTAAAAGCGCTGCTGCAGGTCATTACCTGTCAAGTGATCTCCCGAATCACCAGCTTTACCAGAGCTGATCTAAACGGGGAGTCCTAGACAGGTGTAATCTGTGCCATTCCCCCTACCTCTCACCCTGGGAAGTGGGTTCATAATTTGCTCTGTCCCCCCAAAAGTCTGAGAATAGTTTATATTGCAGGAAAGGAAGCCCTGGGGCCCAATCCGAGGTTCCCACCCGGCCGCCCCGCAGCAGCTGGTTCCCGGGCGGCTGGGGGAACGGCCCCTGCCTGGGTCCTCACCCAATTCCCTTGGCCTTCAGGACCAGGAGCGTCCTCTGGGCGAACGGGCAGAACCTCATGCTGTAGACGCGGATCAGGCCCTGGGGGACCGGCCCCGGGGGCGCGCTTCCTGCGGGGGAGACGCGGCAGTGGTCACGGCCCCGAGAGCGGCCGGGACTCCCATCCTCCCGCCACCCCCGGGCCAGGCCGCGGAGAGGTCCCGCGCGCTGCGGCCCCGGCCCGATCCCCGCGTGTGGGGGACCCCCCGGGTGGCTCCGGAACAGCCACACCGGACACGCGGCAGGGGGTGGCCGAGATTCCCCCCTCCTCCCGCGGCCGGCCGGCCTCACCCTTCGCTAGGCTCCTGGCTGACCCTCCGGACATCGCGGCGCAGGGCAGGCCGAGCTCGCGACCCAGGGTGTGCCGGCGGTTCAGGAAGTACGTCGCCCCTCCCTCGGTCCTTGCTCCCTTCTCTTCTCCTCTCAGAAGTGCCTGCCGGGGGCGGCCGCCAGCTGGGCGGGGGCTGTGCTCTCCCGGCCCCGCGTGGCCCCAGGCGCTTAATGAAAGCTGGCGTGCGGCGTCCAGAATCCCCTTCCCACCCTCTGCAAGCTGGAACGCGCCGCCCCTGCGGCCAAGAGCCTGAAGGGAAATCGCAGCCGCGGACCCACCCAACGCGCCCACCTAGGCCTGGCCTTCCCGGTTTTGCAGAGCTAGCGCTAAAACACCGCAGCTGCTGGTCGTGCCCGAGTGTACTCGCTGGCCAAGAGAGGTACCCACGTCCAGAGCCACAGAAGAAGCTCGACACCCTCAGAGACATGCCCCCCATCCAGAAGGATGGTGGTCTCCAGGCCGGCCTCCACGTATGTCCACGCCTAACCCTGACCTGACCTCCCACACCCCGCACCTGGGCGAGGAGGCACAACCGCGGCTCTCAGGTGACATGGGTCTGGGTGCAGATCCCCTTCCGTCCCCAAACTCCCCTGACTTGAGGGCTTGTGGGCCCCAGCCTGGAGCTTGCTCACAGTTCTGGGATGTATTCTGCAAAGATACCTGTCCACTGCCGGTGTCAGGTCGCCCAGCCATCTGTGCAGCCTTTTCCTTTCCTTGTCGGTACTTAATACAACTACTATTGCATAGCTTAATATGGCTACTAGGAGGGCCATTGTTCTTACTGTCACCTGTAGGACACATCCTTTTAATTTTAACCCAAAGGGAACAGCACAAATGTGGATAATACTAACCTCAGAATGCTGGTGCTGCTTTAAAAAACCTATTAAAGGTTTGGATTTTTTTTTTAAGTTTATTTATTTTGAGAGTGAGAGGGATAAGCTGGGGAGGGGCAGAGAGAGGAAGGGAGAGAGAGAATCCCAAGCAGGCTCAGCACAGAGCCTTTCGTAGGCTCCATCCCTCCAAAGGGGCCATCAGAAAGGTGAGAACATGACCTGAGCTGAAATCAAGAGTCGGATGCTTAAAGACTGAGCCATCCAGGCACCACAAAGGTTTGGATTTTGAAGCTGAGTAGGGGCACAGGCTCAGAGTTCCGCTAGTGAGCTGAGTAAATTTAGACTTGTAGATCTATGACAAATGTCTGTCTAGAGCCACTGCTGAAAGTCCCTTAAAGAGGCAGAAAAGCAGAGGCTCCAGGGCACATGGTACAGACTCTAGAAAGGGGTCAGTGTTTTGTTTGTCTGCCTAGATTTGCAAGCTGGTAGTTCCTGTGCCATTTATTTGCTCCAGGCCTTGGTGTCTGCTTTTATTTTGATTAGCTCTATTAAGGGAGAGGGAGAGGCAGAGAGTGAGGTGATAAGCACACCAATCTTGCAGCCTTTCCTGCCTGGGTTTGATGCCCACTCCACCCCTTTATTAGTTTTCAAGAGTTAGGTTACCAAAGTACCACGGACTACGTGGCTTAAACCACAGAAGTTTAGGGCCGCCTGGGTGGCTCAGTCAGCTAAGTCGCCGACTTCAGCTCAGGTCATGATCTCACAGTGCGTGAATTCTGTGGTGACAGCGCAGAGCCTGGAGCCCGCTTCCCCTTCTGTGTCTCCCTCTCTCTCTCTGCCCCTCCCCTGCTCTCTCTTTCTCTCTCAAAAATAAATAAACATTAAAAAAAAATTTTTTTAAGGAAGTTTATTTTCACAGTTCTGGAGGCCAGAAGTCTGAGATCAAAATGTCAGCTGACTTGGTTCCTTCTGAAGACTATAAGGGAGAATCTATTTCATGCCTCTCCTCTAGCTTCTGGATGGTTTTGCTGGCAATTTTTGGTATCCTTGGCTTGTAGAAGCATCTGTTCCATCTCTGCCTTCACCTTCCCATGGCCTCCTCCTTGTGTGCATATCTGTGTCCAAATTTCCCCTCTTTATAAGGACACTAGTCATACTGGATTAGGGACCCACCCTATTCTAATATGGCCTCATCTTAATTGAACTAATTACAGCTGTAATGGACCTATTTCCAAATAAAGTCATATTCTGAGGTACTGGGGGGTGAGGTTTCAACATATGGATTTATGAATTAATAATTCAATATATGATTTCTTATAAAACTCTATAAATTATAATAACCCCTTATTAAACTGTGTGAATGTAGGCAAGATCCCTTTGTGTTTTAGTTCCCTCATCCGTAAAATGCAGTGGTGAAAACGTCTTGCCTCCCTTATAGAGTTTGAAGAAGTATTACATTAGTAAATATATAGAAAACACTTAAATGAGTTCTTGGCACAGAATAAACGTTAAATAAATGCTTATTAATACAGATACTAAATGAAAAAAATTAAGGCACATTTTTTACTAACACAGGGGTCTTGCTTAGCTCTTTTTTTTAGAAAACTAACTTTTTAGAAGGACTTTTAGCACATTTATGATACAATGCAAATTAACCTTGTACATTTAAGTCTCTGATTGGCCAACCTAAAAACTTCATGACTAGTGTAACATTTTGTTGTAATGATTTGAAAGATCCAATTCAACAATAAAGTAAAAGGTTAATTGCTCAAAAGAAGAAATTGAAAAAAACATATATTGTCCCCGGAAACTACTGTACTGCTGTGCATTATAGTGGTTCCTCTCCAGGCCCTCTGTGATTGTGTTCATAATGTGACCATCTGGATACCCACTGCTGTTAGCCACAGGTGAAGGGCACAGTATTTCACATTTTTGCAGTTGTGATTGTCAGTAATTAACCTGAGGGGGCTAACTCGAACTGATTCTGCTGGTTAAAGGTCAAGAGTTGGAGGTCACAGTGATAAGAAACAGTGTTTTGCCTTCTAAGTACCACCATATACACTCACTTGATACAAGTGACTTACTGACCATATACACTCACTTGATACAACATTCTTTTGTGACTTGTCAGGAATGTAATTTGAATAATATTATACTTTTTAGAACACAATCAATTAAAATTAATAAGGTATTTTTATAGAGTAAGTTAGGAATATTGAAGTCACATGAAGTGTTTCACTCATTATTATTTTAATTAATTATATTTAAAATCTCTTGAAAAATTAGGGGCCCTTATCTGCTTACAGAATTAACATTCTGTGACAGTCTATGGCAGTCTTCAACAAAGAGATTCCATGGAAAAATACCAGTGGAATGAGAATGAATTAGTAAGGCCCAGAATGAGGTCAAGTGAAAAAACAAAAAAATCATTATAATCCTTACAATAAGAAGCCATACCATACAGGAATAAATGGTCCATAAAGAAAGGAGCTTGAATAGCAAAAAAAACCACAAAAACAAAAACGAAAAACGGGGGGCGGGGAACAGGGATAGAGGGATAGTAAAAGTGTACCCTGAGTACAATGGATAAATAATTTGTGGTGTATTCATATGTTCATATAATGGCCAACTATCCAACAATGAAAACTAATAAACTACAGCTACAACTATTAACATGAATGCATCTCGAAAACATAAGACTGAGTCACAAAAGCAAGTCACAAACTAATATACGTGTCATGACTAATATATTAACTTTAAAAACATGCAAAATGACACAGCATGTCAGTTATGGCACATGCATATGTGGTAAAATTGAGAAGCAAGCAACCATAATAAACAGAATCCCGGTGAGTGAATACCGCGGGATTGAGGAAGAGAAAGAAAAAGAGAAGGCACGTGACATGGTGCGGTGCTTGCAGGGCCTGGTTATATTCTGTTTCTTACGCTGGAAGGTGGCTTCTGGACAATGGAACTGAGGTAGGAAACAATGAGTTGAGAAGAAATGAGATGAAGACTGTCTTCATTTGAAAACCTTTCTATGTAATCTGAGTTATTACTCTATGCTATATATCAAAAAGAATTTTTTTTAAGAAACTGATTTTACGGAAGAGGATGGACCTAAGATGGCGGCGCCCACGGGCGCCAGGAGGAGCTACTCTTGTCATGGAACAGAGCGGTGTGGGGGCGCTTGCGAGGCCAACTCCACGCTTTCCGGGGACACCTACCGGCCTGTGGGGCCGAGGCCGAGGCCGAGGCCGCGGCCTACGGCAGGTGCGTGCAGGCGTCCACAGCCCCGGGAGGCCGCCTGACTAAGGACCTCTGCGCGCAGGAGTTCAAGGCCCTGCGGAAACGCTTCGCTGCCCTGGCCCAGAAGACACAGAGGGGAGGCTTTCGGGGTGGAAGAGCCAGCCCTGCACTTCTGTTTGCTGTGGACTACCACAAGGGCAAAGGTCTAAAACATCTAAAGCTTTTAGAGCTAAAAGGACTGCAGACTTTTCCGGGCAAGTCGTGGGCAGAGGGGTATTTGGTTTTCCTGCATCGTGTGTGTAAGGTTTCTGATTAAAGAGGCAGTGAAGAGACAATACTGACCATGGCTGATCAAAAAACGAAAAAGAAACTGATTTTTAAAAGGACAGGTAAAAAAATAAGAGCAAAACACCAACCTAACGACTTTTTTTTTTTTTAATGTTTTTTCTTGAGAGACAAAGGGCGTGAACAGGGAAAGGGCGGAGAGAGAGGGAGACAGTCTCAGAAGCGGGCCCTGTGTTGAGAGCAGAGAGCCCTATGTGGGGCTGGAACTCACCAATTGCAAGATCATGACCTGGCCGGAAGTTGGCTGCTTAACCCACTGAGCCACCCAGGTGCCCCCCACCTAACTACTCTTAAAAGGGACTGTAGGGGAGAAAATTTTGCCACCCCAAAATGTGTTTCTTTGGCATATGGATTATTTTAGGCTGATTATTTATAAGAAACAGAAGGCTCAGGAAGAACCTTTGACCTTCTCCCTGAATACCTGAAAGAATTTGCATGAAAGACCTGTTCCAAGAAAGGAGCTATTATCATAAATAACAGCCTAAGATGAACTAGGTGTGGTAGACAGGAAGAAACATAGCAAAGTTTGTTTTTAAAATTCCTCTCTGTGTCTCATTCTTTTTGTATGGCCCCACAAACATTTGTTTAGGAAGCATTTGCTTGTTTTCATCTTGTTTTCTGGAAATTGTCTCCTCCCCTTAAAGCCCCAGATCCCTACCCCCTTCTCAGTTCAAGATGAGGTATATACCTCATTTTGCCTATTTTTGGAACCTTTCATGTTTGTGTGGATTCCCCAAACATACATAATTAAATTTGATTTTCTCCTATTAATCTTTCCCATGTCAATCTAATTCTTAGACCAGCCAAAAGAATCTAGAAGGATGGAGAAAAATTTTTCCTCCCCAAAAGCATGAAGTAGTTTTATATATACTGATGCAGAAATACGTTCAAGGTATACTGTTAAATGGAAATGTAAAATAGCATATAGGATATAATTCCCTCTGGTGAATGCATGCTGCCTGCCAGGTGTCTGCTAAATGTTCTACATGAAAAAGTTTTAATTAAACTTTAAATAAAAGTTAAATAAATAAAATTAAATTAATAAAAATTAAATTAAATAAGAATTA